AAAAAAAAAAAAAAAAGGACTATTCAAATTTAGGAGGTATCTGGATGGCAGGTCTGGAGCATCAACTGAGGACTTAATAAACTTGGCAAAGGGGGGCACCCGGCTGGCTCAAGTCCCAACCTCAGGGTCCTGGGATGAAGCCCCACATCAGGCTCCCTGCTCAGCGGGGAGTCTGCTTCTCCCTGTCCCTCCCGCTGCTCCTGCTCGCACGCATGTGTGCTCTCTCTCAAATAAATAACTAAAATCTTTTTTAAAAAGTACATAAATAAATAAATTTGGCAAAGGTTCTGACTGCAGTAAGAGGTTAAGCCCAAACAATCAGGAAAGTATGACATAAAAAAACTTCTAAATTCACCTGAATTACTTACTTTTCCAGTCTTAGAAGACAGCTTTAAATATACATTGCTTTATCTTAGAAGAGAGTAACATTACCTCAAATATTAAAATCCAAACTCGAAAGAAAAAGAAGTCTTCCAAGACCAGACCATAAGGGCCAATTACCTGCAATCGGCACCGGTAGCAGCTGTACGATCCACAGGTTCAGCCAGAGCTGGACTCCGATAATGGCCCACACCAGGGACACGAAGTAGATGTCGCTGGTTTTCTTCTTCCTGACAAACGTTCCCATTTCAGGCCTCTGTCTGCCCAGAGCGGGTGAAGGGGTGGAAGGTGAAGGAGAGGAGGATAATGCTGGAGGGGGCTCTCCTCCATCCATGGTTTCTGAAAGGGGGTTGGGGGATCACCACCGTATTAGCCCACGTGAGTCAGGAGTCCTACGGAGCAATTCGCTAGGCTGCTCTACTGTGAGCCTTCAAAATGGACTCTGATGGTATGATCACAAACAGAGACAAAGGTCTGGATGTATGTTTGCAGAGGCACTGAAAAATGTATGGAGAATTACACTACTGACTGTATTTAAATCTGGGGAAATAAAGTTTGTTGGGGGATAGGGTTGGGTATGGTGATTTTTTTTTACTTTTTACCATATACATTTCACACTGTTCAAAGTTTTATGACAAATGAACAAAAAACTATGACAAAATAGCTGAGAATTATAATTAGCCCATGAAAACTCCTCAAACTGTATAAAGCAACCAATATTAAGATACAGAATTCCTGGATCTAAAAATGTCTCCTCTTTTAATATGACTATATATATATATATATATTAATATGATAAAGCCATGATAAAACACGGCTTTTCAATGTCATTGCACCTAAAATGGAGCCAACTGCTCTTTAAAAAAAAAAAAAAAAAAAAAAAACCTAATTTGAAAACTTCATGTTGGTAGGTGTGGCAGATTCTTAGAAGAATAATCATCCCCTCTTCATTCTGAAAACATGATTCAATGTGAAATAAAAACGTGTTTTCCTACCACCCTAAATGACTTTTTCTTAGCTGATCCCTCCTTTCAAGTCTTTTCTCAAGTAAGTTCTTTAGGAAGAGCTCACCAAAAATATTCCTTAACTGCAAATCCCCTGGAACTAAGAGACTGCTTGGCACAGAGATGGCCATTCCGTTCTTGAACTCTGTGTGAGTACAGTGTGACTTTAAAGCTGATGTGAATCTGCCAGCTGGATCTTGTAGAAGCATGGTATCCAGAACAACCAAACAGGCCCATTTTAGGGCAAACAGTTAATATATTAACAGCATGAGGCATGCAAAGCAAACTTTGAGAAGAAAAGCAAGAAATGCCAGAGAAATGGAGGACTGTAAGAGAGAAAAGGAAGACCGAAAGAAAAAGTTGGGTCAACAACAAAAGCAATGTAAAGAGTCAGAGCAAAACAGAGCAGTGGAGAAGAACTAACAGCTATAGAAGTAGAAAACAAGGAAAGGATGAAGTGGAAAAAAATATGGAAAAGGTATATGGGGCACCAAGAGAAAGAAAATAAAATGAAAGGAAAGTGAGAATAACAGAAGAAAAATGAGAAAAGCATTTTTTTTAAAAAAGGGAAAAGATAAAGATTCGAGGTAAGAAACATAAAAAGGTAAATAATTAAAAGCATGAAAAAAGTGATTATGGGAGAACAAAGATGAGAGGAGGAAAAGTGTAAAAATAGAAATCAGAGGAAACTGAAGGACCACTAAATCACACTCTGTGATGCTCATGTCCTTAAGTTTATCCTTTATAAAGCGTATTTCATTTTCCCAAATGATTCTGAAAATATTCCTTCAAAGGGTCAGTCACCTGCAGGCTGGGCAGAGGGCGGGTCGTCAGGGCTGGATTCGTACCCTGTAATGGAGATGGCCAAGGTCGCTAGAGTAGAAGCTGCCATGGAAATAACCTGCCCTGGTAACTCTGCTCCTGGAAAACAAGCAAGTATTCTTACAACTTTTTAAAGCAAAGTGGAAAACAACTTTTGCAAACTGAAACACAGTCCCAAAATTTCAAAAGCAATGAAACAGAACAGTTATTAAGTGATCCAGGGACAGGGGTTCCTCACCAAGGAAGAATGCTTAAGAATCAACAGGGAGATCTGCTAAAAATCTGGTCCCTGGACACTGTATGTCAGTCTCCCTTAGGAACTCACACTGGTGCACGCAGCTGAGGGTGGACACCTATATGTGGAGTCCTCCTTTTTTACTTTTTAACTTCACAAGTTAATGCGAATGCACGTCTCTGTTGAAACACATTGCCACACCAAGTCTGGGAGCTTCCCGAATGCAGACTGTCTTACTCTCCTTTGCGTTACTAGCTCTCAGTACCGTATGGAACAGATAACACTCGGTGCCCTCGATAAGAACATTCCATGAATAAATAGGCAAACATATGGGTACTATGCAAAACCATAAAGCTCAATAAAGTAATTATTCAGCACAGGCAAAATCCACCACTGAGAGTCTAAAATATATTACTCTGTTTCATGCTATATGTCCCCATGTTAAGTTCGTAAAAGGTAGTACACCAAGCTTAATCATTTGCACTAAACTCAAAAAAAAAAAAAAAAAAAAAACATTTACTGGGGCACCTGGGTGGCTTAGCCATTAAATGCCTGCCTTCAGCTCAGGTCATGATCCCAGGGTCCTAGAATCAAGCCCCCCATCGGGCTCCCTGCTCAGTAGGGAGCCTGCTTCTCCCTCTCCCTCCAGTGCTCCTCCTGTTTGTGCCCTCTTGCTTTCTCTATCAAATAAATAAATAAAATCCTTAAAAAAAACATTTACTGGCCAGTGAGGTCTGTCTGTAATGGTCTAATCTGCTATAGCAGACAACACAGAGACTAGCACACACAATACCAGGTTCTAGCACGCTTTCCTCCTCCAAGAGACTGGAAAGCTAGACTATATTCCTTAAACTCCATTGCAGCTAAGGTCCCATGTATAAGGCAGTTTCTACACACCAGTCCAAGACCTAGAAGACCATAGTGGGACTCCCAGTAATTTGGACACTCGGGTGTCAAACAGTCATGGAGATACATGGTATTTCTGCAGGAAGTTACTTAGCAGAAGTTCTAGAAGCTCTGCTGTCTGAGCTCTACTTTGTGGCAGCCGTGGCATCTCTGCTCAAATAGTCCTTTGGTGTCATGGAGTACTTTTCCCAGTTGCACTGCTTCTGCCTGTGTCAGACCCAAGCTTAATTGTCTGGTCTTCCCAAAAAGTCTATATGCTAACCAATATCTCTGTCTATGCAGACTAGCTCGTGTGGGTTCTACTGTCCACAACTAAGAACATGAAAACTCACAGAGACGGGACCTCGCTCTTGGTGGGCCGGTATGCAATACAACAACACAGAATGCTGCTGGCGAACACAGCCTTGACCGCTCAGAAAGCCAATGAATTTCAGCTCCAATGAATTCCACCTGCTCAGCAAATCCAAGGCTGGCCATCTCACAGAGACAAGCAGGCCGGGTCCTGAAATGGCTCACCCGTAGACTGAACCATCAGGACCAAGGGCATTTATCTTGCTCAACCATATCCTATTCTTCCTCAATAAATGCCTAACAGAGGTTTATTTTTAGGCAATCCAAGAGAATGTCAAACTCACGATCTGGGAAGAGAAGAGCTGGTACCCATTCTTCTGGCCTAAGTATGAAAGGTGTTTCTTTCACGCCAATAAGGGAAGAGGATGAGAGGAAAAGACATTGCCTCTCATGTCTCACATGTTCTCATTACTCACTGTACTGAATGCTAGGGATAAAGACATGGACCCTGCCCCCATGGAGTCTAGTGGAAGAGATGGATACGAATTAAAGAACCACAGGGGGAAAAAAATTCTTACCGTACTTAGGGAATAATTTGTTAATTCACCTTTAAAAGGGGGGGGGCACCTGGCTGGCTCACTTGATAGAGCATGTGTGCTACTCTTGGTCTCAGGGTTGTAAGTTTGAGCCCCACACTGGGTGCACAGATTACTTAAAAATAAAAAACTAAAAAAAAAAAAAAAGAACCACACAAATGTAAATGTATACAAACTATGATGACTGCTGTAAAGGAAACATACTAGCTATTTTATGAACTCCTAACACAAAAAAATCTGACTTAGTCTGAAGAATCAGGAATAGCTTCTCTTTAAGAAATGAAAAAGAAGCTGAGAATCAAACAAAAAAAGAAATAAAAGGCAACCAAATTGGCAAAGAAGAAGTCAACTCTTCACAGATGACATGATTCTCTATGTAGAAAACCCAAAAGACTCCACCAAAAAACTGCTAGAACTGATACAGGAATTCAGCAAAGTCGCAGGATATAAAATCAATGCACAGAAGTTAGTCGCATTTCTATACACTAACAATGAGGCAAAAGAAAGAGAATTCAAGGAACTGATCCCATTTACAATTGCACCAAAAACCATTAGATACTTAGGAATACACCTAACCAAAGATGAAAAGGATCTGTATTCTGCATAGAACACTCATGAAAGAAACTGAGGAATACACAAGAATGGAAAAATATTCCATGCCTATGGGTTGGAAGAACAAATACTGTTAAAATGTCTATGCTACCCAGAGCAATCTACACATTCAATGCAATCCCTATCAAAATACCATAAACTTTTTTCACAGAGCTAGAATGAATAATCCTAAAATTTGTATGGAACTGGAAAAGACCCTGGATAGCCAAAGAAATGTTGAAAAAGAAAACCAAAGCTGGTGGCATCACAATTCCAGACTTCAAGCTATATTACAAAGCTGTAATCATCAAGACAGTATTGTACTGGCAAAAAACAGACACAGAGATCAACAGAACAGAATATAGAGCCCAGAAATGCACCCTCAACTCTGTGGTCAACTGATCTTTGACAAAGCAAGAAAGAATAATCAACAGAAAAAAGACAGTCTCTTCAACAAATGGTGTGGGAAAACTGGACAGCCACATACAGAAGAATGAAAATAGACCATTCTCTTGTACCATATGCAAAAATATACTCAAAATGGATGAAAGACCTCAATGTGAGATAGGAATCCAACAAAATCCTAGAGGAGAACATGAGCAGCAACCTCTTTAACATCTGCTGTAGCAACTTCTTACTAAATTCATCTCCAGAAGCTAGGGAAACAAAAGCAAAAATGAACTATTGGGACTTGACATCAAGGTAAAAAGCTTTTGCACAGCAAAGGAAATAGTCCACAAGACTAAAAGGCAACCTATGGAATGGGAGAAGATATTTGCAAATGTCTTATCAGATAAAGGGCTAGTATCCAAAATCTATGAAGAACTTACACCCCAAAGAAAATAATCCAGTCAAGAAATGGGCAGAAGACATGGACATTTCTCCAAAGAAGACATTAAAATGGCCAACAGACACATGAAAAAATGTTCCATATCACTCGGCATCAGAAAAATACAAATCAAAACCACAAAACCACCTGTCAGAATGGCTAAAATTAACAACTCAGGAAACGACAGATATTGGAGAGGATGCAGAGAAAGGGGAACCCTACTACAGTGTTGGTGGGAATGCAAACTGATGCAGTCACTCTGGAAGACATTATGGAGGTTCCTCAAAAGTTAAAAATAAAACTGCTCTATGAAGCAGCAACTGCACTATTAGGTATTTACCCAAAGGATACAAACATAGTGATCCAAAGGGGCACGTGCACCCCAAATGTTTACAACAGCAATGTCCACAATAGCCAAACTATGGAAAGAACCTAGATGTCCATCGACAGATGAATGGATAAAGAAGAGGTGGTACACACACACACACACACACACACTCAGCCATCAAAAAGAATGAAATCTTACCATTTGCAATGACGTGGATAGAACTAGAGGGTATTATGCTAAGCAAAATGAGTCAGAGAAAGACAAATATATGATTTCACTCATATATGGAATTTAAGAAAGAAAACAGATGAACACAGGGGGAAGGGAAGGAAAAATAAGATGAAAACAGCGAGGGAGACAAACCATAAGAGACTCCTCACCATAGGAAACACACTGAGGGTTGCTGGAGGGAGATGGGTGGGTGGGGAGGTATATGGGTAATGGGCATTAAGGAGAGCACTCGATGGAATGAGCATTGGATGTTAGATTCAACTGATGAATCACTAAATTCCATCACTGAAACTATAATACCCTATGTTAATTAAATTGAATTTAAATTAAAATAAAATGAAATGCCAAAAAGAGAAAAGAAAATGAAGCTGATATACCAAGGATGAGAAGACATTCATCAAAAGAATGTAAAGAATAACATTTGGGGCAGCAGGAAGTGAGTAGGAAGGCTGTTAAGTGAAGACACTAGCATGATAAAGATAGTGTAAGAAGGTCAGTGTGTCTGGGACACAGCTAGCAGGAATCTGGTATCGAATAAACCAGGCTGGACGTCGAGAGCCAGATGATGCATGTCACAAAAGACCATGGTAAGTATTTCAGGCTTTATTCTAAAAGGAGAAGGGAAGGAGTGAAGAATTTTAAACAGGATAATATTTCTACTGAAACGTCACTGAGATAATTGTAGCTTTATGTGCAACTGTAAGAAACGACACAGAGAGATCCTATCTACGCTTTTCGCAGTTTCCCCCAGTGTTCCCCTGCAACACTGAGGCACAGTTCTGTGCTCGGGATTATCAGCATGGACACAAGATACAGGACAGGCTCAGCACGGCAAGGATCTCCATATTGCCCTTCAGAAGCACACCCAGCCTCCTGGTTTGCAAATAAATGAACAGTTTTGAGATATATAAAGATCGTGCTTGCTGTCTGGTCAAGAGCAGATTGGAGGGGACCAAGAATGGGTACAGGGAGAGAAGTGACGGCAATACTACAGGCAAGACAAGATGACGGCACGGTCTGCAGCAGCTAGCAGGGGAGATGTCAGAAAAGTGGCTGCATTTATGCGGCACCTGGGTGGCTCAGTGGATTAAG